TCTGAACCGAGGGGGTTCTCTGGTCCTTGGCTCTTTGGGGTTGGTCACTTCGGATGACTCGTCTGCTGAGTTCTCAGGGTTTGGCTCTCCTGGCTGTTCACATTCGGGGAGTGTCCAACATCCTGGCGGGACAGACTGTCTTGATTCATTCTCCTGTCCACAGAATGGATGGTCGATGCCGATTCGTTCCGTTGGCTCTGCCAGACGTTCGGGCTCCCGGAGGTGGATCTCTTCTTGTCAGCTTGGTCAAGGCGCCTTCCCTTGTATGTGGTGCCCTTCCAAGATTGCAAGGCTGTCAGGGTCGACGCCTTCAGGCAGGACCAGTCGAGGTGGGGTTACGTATACCTGTTTCCTCCGGTTCTGCTGTTGCTCCAGGTCCTAGCTTGCTTGGAGACTTACCAGGGGAGAGTAGTCCTTCTGGCTCCTTGGTGGCCAGCCCAGCCTTGGTTTCAGGTGCTGCTTGCGCAGTGTCTGAACCCTGAAAGTTTCTATGCGGCTCCGCCTCTTTCAGCAGATCAGTCCAGTCTGTTACGAGGCTGGTTCGATCTTCTCCTCGAGTCTTCGCATCTGGTCTTTCTGACTAGAGTCTATCACCACTTGTATGGTGACCAGGTGGCTTCTTTGATGGTGTCCCACCTGCGGGCTTCGTCTCGGCGACAGTATAAAGTTTCTTGGCGGTCCTTCAGTTTCTATCTGACCCTTCGTCGAGTTACTTCTATTTCTGTTCGGGTTGTCTTGTCCTTTCATTCGTGGTTGTTTCAGGATCGTCATCTTATGCTGAACACTGTCTCCTTGTATTGTGTGGCGTTGGTGGAGCCGCTGCAGCTGGCGTTCGGCGTTGATGTTACTTTGGCGCCATTCTGTAAGCTGTCTTGGGCGTTGTTTCACCTCCAGCCTGTTCATGCGCAGCCTGAGCCATCCTGGTCCTTGGATTGGGTGCTCTCTTTTCTCTCTCTCTTTCTTTCTTTGTTGATGCATGGTTGGTAAGGCTGGGATGCATCATGTGTTGTGTCCAGTTGCGGCTTTGCACCATTATTTGCACGCCACGGCCTCAGTGACCGGGGATGCGCTTTAGGTTGACCCGGTTTCCCTTCTTCCCCGTTCCCGAGTTTGGGTCTTCCAGGTCATCCACAGGGTTATTCGGTATAGCCAGTGTGCGGTTTATCCCCGCACCCACGATGTTCATACGTTTGCTGCACTTGCTGTCATTTTTGGTAACATGTCTTAGGCTGACGTACGGGCGTGGGGCTTTCAGAGGTCGAACAGGGTCCTGGCTGCTCGCTACTTGGTCAATGTCCTGGGGCCTGGTTGGGCCTGTGTTGCATTGGGTCAGCAGTTGCGGCCAGTTGTCTCGATTTCACGTTGAGATGTGAGGAACGAACGCCACCCGGGTAAGTCCCTGTTTGTTTTTCTCTTTTGGTAAGTAGCTCCAGGAAGCCGAAGGGGCTCCCCCCAAAAAAACAGTGTTGAATGTAATGACGTGCCATTTTCTGGGGAGACCCAGAGGCTCCCCGGCATCCCTCCCTCCCTCCGGTCAGTGGTTTCCTTTTGGGTGTTTTTGATATCCAGCCTAAGAACTGGCAGGCTTGGGTAGCCGGCAGAAGGTCTGGGGCTCCCTCATTCCCCCTCCCGGGGAGGAGAGAATAGCGCAGACAGTGGCATGTTGGTAATGAGATGACATCATGCTCGTTTGTTCGTTTTTTCTTCATAGGAAGTTCTATCCAATTGTTCGGCTTTGATAGCAATTCTTAACCAGATTGGGAGGGTGTTTTGGGGTGCCTATCTTTCTGGATGCCCGACCCTGTCTATGGCAGACATAGAGTACTTCTAAATTATATATAAGGTGTGTCTATAGGCCATTGCTCCTCGCGCCTCTCTGAGGGGGCCAGGTTCTGGCTCGTTGCTCCCTGGTAGGCCTAGAACTCCATGTACATTGACTGATGCCCAAAGCTAATACTCCGCCCAGATAGCTCCGGGGAGCCTCTAGGTCTCACCCAGAAAATGGTGCTTCATTATGTTAAATGCTGTTTTTTTACAGTAAACTATATTGAATCCTATAATAATAACAAATAAAAATGAAAATCATATGCTTTTCTGAGAGCATAACAACACCAAATGAACAAATTGTGATATTTAATATTTTTGATGCTCATTAGAAAATCTTAAATTTTCAATAGTTAACATAAGTTATTTTATAATTATTTTTAATTTTCTTGTTTTTCAAGTTATGTTGGTGATCATTTAGACAAAGTTGGAGCATGTGCCTAATACTGTAGATTAAGTACAAAAAATTTGAAAGCGTTTGAGCAAGACGCAAAATTTCATTTCCCGGCCCCTTAAGTTTGTTTTAGCTTCATTTATTTTAAAAGAATTCCTTACTAGTCAGTATACTACTATCTAAAAGCTAAGAACGTACGAATTCTGACTATTGACGATCGTCACAATAGATTACTATCTAAACAGAAGGAGGAGTTGCGATAACCGCATTAACCCATGAATCAACATATCACGATAACTGCATTACCCAGTAAATCAACATATGACGATAACCGCATTACTCTGTGAATCAACACATGACAATGACTGCTGCCTAAGGGTTAAATTATGACAAAGGGTGGTAGCAGCTGCATTAACCAACCTGTGAAAGATTTCTACTTTAACCTATTCAAAGATATTACACACAATTGCATATGCAATCAAACATTAGCAGATATATGATCAATCTGACTGAAGTTAATTTATTCTTGTACATATAGTCAAATCTATCGACTGTATTATTTTATTCTTTAATATATGGATTTTAGAGTTCTATGATAATCTAAATGTGTATAAATCTTCTAAGCCCACAATTTAACACTTTCGGCTGTCTGTGACAGATATTGCGTCCATAAATAACTCGACGGATGTCTGGCAGTGACACATTTTGCGTCTGAAATTAAAGTATTTGTTAAAATTCCATTTTTTCCCGATCATTATGGAACGTGTTTTTATAATCTTCACCAACGTCTTCCCATTTTCTGAGATGGCCATATGGCATCACGGCACCGCCTGCCTCACGGTAGGTCCATTGTTATCGTGTCTACTCTCGTGACCGCTGCGACCTCACCTCGCATCCATCACCTGTGCCCGTTCCAGCTATTTTTCCTCAGCTATGTTTGTTACTGCCTTTATACACTGTACATATACACTCTACATTGATCTTGAAAATGCCAAAAGTGACAGTGATGTAGATAGTGAGGTGGTTGAAACCAAAACAGCAGGTGAGGATGAAATTGAAAGTGATGGGAGTGGTGGTGGTGGTGATCTTGATACCGCCACACATGCAGGGCCTGCTATTAGAACTCATACAGTGCATACCGCTTGTACCCAACATACCCCCCCCCACACACCAGTTCTGGTGAAGCCTGGTCTACTGACAACACTCCACCATCTGTAGACAGTTTTACTGGAACACCAGGCTTGACTGTACCAGTACCAAGCACTCCCTTGGGATTTTTACGGTTATTTATTACTCGAGATTTGTTGAAATTTATGATATATGAAACAAATTTTTATGCATCACAAAGCATGTCCAATGCGTCTTAACAACACAAACAATAAGTGGGATGAAGTGAGTGTAAAAGAGCTTGCCAGATATTTGGGAGTGACAATGTTGATGGGCATTGTGAAGATGCCAGTGATGAGAATGTACTGACAAACAGGTCAATTGTGGCATGTACCTTCTTTTAATATTTTTATGGCTGCGCGACGATATGAATTGATTGCAAAGTATTTTCATAATCATAACAATAATGCCATTCCCAAAGACAATCAAGATAGATTAATAAAGGTTAGAACATTCATGGAATATCTCAGATACAAATGCAAAATAATTTATACTGTATTCCTCAGAAAAGTTTGTGTTTGGATGAAGGTACAATGTCATTGAGCTTTCAAGGTTTATAATCCAAATAAGCCTGATAAGTATGGAGTAATGCTGTACATGTTGGCTGAATAGCATACTGGTTACATCTATGATTTTGTAGTGTATGCAGGAATTGGGAAGACAACAATTCAAATGGTTATGGGCATGATTGAACCACTGAAGAACAAAGGTTATCATTTATATATGGATAACTACTATAACTCGGCTCAACTGAATGAAAAGCTACTCTACTGCTTTTTTTATATATCCCAAATAGCTAATATGTACAATTTCATTCCATTGAGTATAAATCCACCCTCATTTATTTCACCTCTTTCCAAACCTTAGTGTTTTACTATTGTTTCTCTGCTGACAAAGAACACTCTCTTAGAACTCTAGCTATTTGGTTTTGCTGTACTGTATGTATGGCTTTAGGGGGAATTACAGTATCTTATGATATGAGGACAAGGAGCTGGGATATGAGGACATGGAGCTGAGATATGAGGACATGGAGCTGGGATATGAGGACATGGAGCTGGGATATGAGGACATGGAGCTGGGATATGAGGACATGGAGCTGAGATATGAGGACATGGAGCTGGGATATGAGGAGAAAGAGCTGGGATTTGAGGACTAGGATCAGGGACATGATGGAGTGAAGGAATGGTGCCCAGAAACCTGGACCGCTAGGGACTTGTTGGCACAGACACAGCTTAGCTTCTTTAGGCAAATTGAAAATGACCAAAAATCCATTGAATAGCATTTGCATTGCTCATGTAACGAGCAAAGTGTATCTAATCCTAAGGCAGCCAGACTACTTTATTCATCTAAACATTTTTAGTCTGTGCAATAGTGTATCTAAGGTAAGATAATGTGTGAAGAGCTTCCCTAAACACTTGCCACATTGATCTGTATATACTCCAGAAATCTTCACAAAAAATGTATAATTGTGGGAGAAAAAATTTACAGTTTTAGAGACTAGTTTTAGTTTCATTGTGGTGAAATATGATGCTTGTAATATTTTTGTATGGTTAATGTAGTAATTACACACATACACACACACAAACACATAATTATGCCATATATATTTCCACAGTTCGGCCAATGCTAAAAAGTGGGAGATCGAGTTAAATTCATTAAAAACTACAAATGCCCGGTTAACATCAGCACTACAAGAATCTACAGCTAATGTTGAAGAATGGAAGAAGCAACTACAGACATACAAGGAAGAGAATAATCGCATGAAGACACGTATTCACGAATTAGATGCTGGAGGTCGAAGTAAGTAAATGTTACTAAATTTTTATAATTACCCGTAATTAGAAAATTAATTATAGAATAATTAATTCATTAGTAATATTTTTAAATTAAAATTTTAATTAAAAAAATTCATTATGTACTCTTTTTATTATCTTTCTTTCTATGCTCTGTAAAACAAGGTGGAACTGATGCATTTTAAACAAATGTAAGTGTAGATCAATAGAAGATAGTACAGTATTGATATATCACGAGTTCAGTTGTACTCAACATCATTTTCAGTCCCTCTATATCAATAATAATAAGAGACTCCCTCTGCAAGCACACATTGCTGTATTTAACACTTTAACTTTGCAGCCCATCAGTTCATATCCGACCGTTAAGGTTGCTGGCATCTTGAGTTGCACTCAGCAACCTCTAAAATGTTCATACTCATGCCAAGGTTTCTCAGTTAGTTTTGGAGTTATAACTATGAATTTGATGTCAAAATGTTTGCAAATGAATTTGCTAAAATATAGATACCATACAAAATGTGTTTTTATAATATATTGTGCGTGACAGAGATAAATGTGTGAATTTAATGAAAATTTCAACATTGATTTTCCAACATTAAAATACAAAATGTGGAAATGTGCACATTATCAGTCTATATCGCAGTAAAACAAAAATAAACATAACTTTCATACTTTTCCAGCAGGTAATATGCAATTTTCTGTGGGGAGCCCCTACGGCTCCCTGGAACTTATCGGGCTAATGTATGTTATATTAGACCGGGACATTAGCTAAGGAGTTCAGACCTACCAGGGACCAGTACCAGAACCTGGCCCCTTCAGAGAGGTTTCAGGGAGCAATGGCCATGGAAAACCCCTTTGTGGTTGGGGTTTTCCTTGTCTGCCATCGACCGGGGTTAGGCACCCAGAAAGGTAGGCCTACCTTTCTGGGTGCCTAACCCCGGTCGATGGCAGATAAGGAAAACCCCAACCACAAGGGGGTTTTCCAGTGCCATTGCTCCCTGAAACCTCTCTAAAGGGGCCAGGTTCTGGCGCTGGTCCCTGGTAGGTCTGAACTCCTTAGCTAATGTCCCGGTCTAATATAACATACATTAGCCCGATAAGCTCCAGGGAGCCTCCGGGGCTCACCCAGAAAATGGCATTTCATTACATTCAACGCTGGTTTTTTGTACACTTCTCAACCACACAGATAATTCCTCTCAGTTTACCAGCTTTAAAATCACTGCACACATATCTATTCTTGAAGTTTATAGGCACCATTTGCTCTTTAAAAAACTTGTCATTCAGAAACCTTGCTCTTCAAAAAACTTACTTCTCAGGAAATTTGCTTCTTTTTTCCTCAGATTTTCTTATAATGTGTATTTTATCCATTGTTTTAATAACATAGTTAATTTTTTATTAAATTAATGTTCCATTAGTTGGTAGAGGTGAATCGGAAGAACTTGTCAAGGAGATGGCATGTCTACAAGCAAGGTTGGAAAACCTTGAGGAACAGATAAGGTCTAGGGAGGCGACAATCGACGAATTAGAAAATCAGCTTCAGCATGCCCGAGCTGATGACCAACGGGAGAAAATACAGGTGAACACAATCTTTCTGTTTGTAAGCACTAATGCTTGACTGTGATGGAAATGTGCATGTTTACAGTATGTAATATTTTTTGCATTTTATGTTATTTACGTAAAAAGAGGTTTCATTTGTGTACAATTAACCCTTGGGCAGTGGCTACGGAGAAATGCTCATACCCCTCCTATGTGCATCAAAAAATAAACAAATTCCCAATAATTCTTTTTCATGAAAGAATTAATAATTTGTATGCAAATTTAAGAATTTAAGTAAAACATGAAAATAAGTGAATATTTATCATTTCAAGAGGTGGAGGTGCTCTTGAAGGTTGTAATTACTTAAGTGTAGTTACAGGATGAGAGCTACGCTCGTGGTGTCCCGTCTCCCCAGCACTCTTTGTCATATAACGCTTTGAAACTACTGACGATCTTGGCCTCCACCACCTTCTCACTTAACTTGTTCCAAACGTCTACCACTCTATTTACAAAAGTGAATTTTCGTATATTTCTCCTACAGCTTTGTTTCGTTAGTTTAAATCTATGACCTCTTGTTCTTGAAGTTCCAGGTCTCAGGAATTCTTCCCTATCAATTTTATCGATTCCTGTTACTATTTGAACGTAGTGATCATATCGCCTCTTTTTCTTCTATCTTCTAGTTTTTGCATATTTAATGCCTCTAACCTCTCCTCGTAGCTCTTGTCCTTCAGTTCTGGGAGCCACTTAGTGGCATGTCATTGCACCTTTTCCAGTTTGTTGATGTGCTTCTTAAGATATGGGCACCATACAACCGCTGCATATTCCAGCTTTGGTCTAATAAAAGTCGTGAACAGTTTCTTTAGTATTTCTCCATCCATGTATTTAAAAGCAATTCTGAGGTTAGAAAGTGTAGCATAGGCTCCTCGCACAATGTTCTTAATGTGGTCCTCAGGTGACAGTTTTCTATCTAGAACCACCCCAACCTGATCATTGACACTGATTACCTGATCAACCAGGCTGTGACTCATACGTCAGGCTGCGAGCAGCCGCGTCCAACAGCCTGGTTGATCAGTCCAGCAACCAGGAGGCCTGGTCGACGACCGGGCCGCGGGGACGCTAAGCCCCGGAAGCACCTCGAGGTAACCTCAAGATAAGGTAACCCCTAGATCCCTATCTTTGTCAGAATTCTTCAAAGATTTCTCACATAATTTATAGGTTGTGTGGGGTCTATGTTCTCCTATTCCACATTCCATAACATGGCATTTATTCACATTAAATTCCATTTGCCAAGTGTTGCTTCATATACTTATTTTGTCCAGGTCTTCTTGAAGGGCATGACAATCATCTAAGTTTCTTATCCTTCCTATTATCTTAGCATCATCAGCAAACATGTTCATGTAATTCTGTATTCCCACTGTTAGATCGTTTATGTAGACAATGAACATTACCGGTGCAAGAACTGAACCCTTATGGTACTCCACTCGTAACATTCCTCCAATCTGATACTTTGCCTCTGAATACGGCCCTCATTTTTCTGTCAGTTAGGAAATTTTTCATCCATGTTGGTAGCTTACCTCGTAGCTAGGGGCCTCGTAGCCTGGTGGATAGCGCGCAGGACTCGTAATTCTGTGTCGCGGGTTCGATTCCCGCACGAGGCAGAAACAAATGGGCAAAGTTTCTTTCACCCTGAATGCCCCTGTTACCTAGCAGTAAATAGGTACCTGGGTGTTAGTCAGCTGTCACGGGCTGCTTCCTGGGGGTGGAGGCCTGGTCAAGGACCGGGCCGCGGGGACACTAAAAAGCCCCGAAATCATCTCAAGATAACCTGTCACTCCTCCAATATGTTCCAGTTTCCAGAACAACCTCTTATGGGGAACTCTGTCAAAAGCCTTTTTTAGATGCAGTCAACCCAACCATCTCTTTCCTGTAAAATCTCTGTGGCTCGATCATAAAAACTGAGCAAGTTCATTACACAGGATCTTCCAGATCGAAAACCATACTGTCTGTCTGATATTATATTGTTTTCCTCCAGGTGTTCTACCCATTTAGTTTTAATTATTTTTTCCAATATTTTGACTATTACACTTGTCAATGATACAGGTCTATAATTAAGGGGTCTTCCCTGTTTACACTTTTGTAGATTGGAACTATGTTAGCCTTTTCCCACACATCAGCTACAACTCCTGTACACAGGGATGCCTGAAAAATCAGTTGAAGAGGAATGCTGAGCTCAGGTGCACATTTTCTCAGAACCGATGGTGAAACTCCGTCTGTACCAACTGCTATGTTCTTACTTAGCTCCTTGAGCATTTTTTCCACTTCATCTCTAGACACCTCTATGTGCTCTATGTTGTTCCCTGGAATTCTTATTGTATCTGGTTCCCTAAAGATTTCATTTTGTACAAACACACTTTGGAACTTTTTGTTTAGTGTTTCACACATTTCCTTTTCATTTTCCGTGAATCTATTTCCCATTTTCAACCTCTGAATATTATCCTTTACCTGCAATTTGTTGTTTATGAATTTATAGAATAGACCTGGTTCTGTTTTACATTTGTCTGCAATCCCTTTTTCAAAATTTCTTTCTGCCTCTCTCCTCACTGCCGTGTAGTTGTTTCTCGCATCTTTGTATCGCTGGTATGTTTGGGGTTTCGGCCTCTTCCTGTATTGATTCCATTTTTGTGTCTTTTGGTCTCTGGCCCTCTCGCAATTTCTATTGAACCAGTCCTGTTCCCTAGTTCTGCATCTCTGTTTTGGTATAAATTTTTTTGTGCCTTTATAATATATTTCACAAATCTTGACATACATCTCATTCACTTCCTTGTCTAGCATCAAGTCTGTCCAATTATACTCACTAAAAAAATTTCTAAGGTGGCCATAATGTCCTCTCCTGAAGTCAGATTTTTCAACTGCTTCAACCTCCTTATTTTCTTCCAGATTATAACGCATTGCATACTTTATTCCCAAAAAGACATGGTCACTTTTACCCAAGGGAGGAAGGTACTGAATGTCAAATATCTCTTCCTCCTTCCTGGTAAATATCAAATCTAGCATGGAGGGAACGTCCCCTTCCCTCATCCTCGTAGCTTGTTTAACATTTTGATACAAGAATGTTTCCAGGATGAGGTCTACAAATCTACAGGTCCAAAAATCTTCTGTTTTAGCTTCATATGCTTCCCAGTCTATGGATTTCAAGTTGAAGTCACCGACTATCAACAGTCGTGATCTATCGTTATCCGCTCTCGCTATAATCTCTCTCATTATTGTTATAAGACCTTCGCGTTTACTATCTAGCTCCTCCTCTGACCATGTGCTGCTTGGCGGTGGACTATATGCATTTATGATCATTAGTTTATCATCCTTATGGCAGATCTCTAGTGCTATTATGTCAATTTCTTGTGGATTGGCAGTCATTATTTCTTTCACCTTTAGGTGTTCTTTTACCAGCACAGCAACGCCACCACCATTCCTAATTTTTCTGTCCCGTCTCCAAATTGAGTAGCCCCTTGGGAATATGACCTCATTTATAATAACATCTACAAGTTTTGTCTCCGTGAGTGCAACAATGTCTGGTGTCTGCAGCTGTATTACATCACTTAACTCCAGTATCTTCGATCTCACTCCATCTATGTTGGTGTATGCAATCTTCAGAAACTTGTTCCCCCTCTCCTTATTCTTCACTTCCCCTCTCTATATATTTTGTTGGTTTGCCTTTATGTACCACTTTACTGGTCTGCCTACCCCTATCACTTTGTAGAGAAAAGAATTGATTTCTTCTTCATTCCTGCTCTCATTTAAATGTTTTGCCTCGGCGAGGTTCAGTTTCAGCTTCTCTCTGTCTTCTTTTGAAATATCTCGTCTTAACGACCACACTTTCCCATCCTCATCACTTTGTAATTTTCTAGCATTCCTGAGTATTTCTTCCATCTGTTTGGCACCATTTAGGGTGATCCTCAAAGGTCGATCTTTGCCTTTTACGTATCTGCCTATTCTCCTGTAGTCGCACACATTCTCTATGGTAGTAAGCCAACAATTTTATCTACTATTTTCGCTTCTTCTACAGCTCTTTCTGACCTAGATGTTATCTCCTTTTCTTTGCAACCAAAAATTATCAGGGATTTGCTCCGATCAACTGTGTTTTGCATCAACTTCGGGTTAGATGCCAATTCTTTTCTCACTTCCAGCCTAATGTTTGTTTTATCTTGGTTGCTGCAGTGTTGGGCTTTCTTTACTGCTTCTTCAATTTTTTCCTTCTCCTTGGCCACTTGTGCATAAGTGAGTTGCATATCTTTCCTGCACTGTTCTATTCCCTGTGTAACTTCCTCCATCTGTGCTGACAAAAGCAGTTTCTCCTGTTGAATTTCCTTACCTAACCTATTGTAGTCATTTATGTTTAAATTTACTTTAACTTCTTCCAAAGCTATTTTTAAGAGTTTATTTTCTTCTTCCATGGCTTTGCAATTTGGTTCCAATTGATTCTTATCCTTGCACAAGTCTTTCACTAAACTCTCAAGACATACAACTTTGCTATTCAAATGTTCATTACTTTCTTTCAATTTTCTAATTATTTCTACATGAGAGGTCACTATAGTATCTAATTTTACCAACTTGTTGTATAGACTGGTTATATCAATGCTTTCTTCACTGAATCCAGCAAAATCAAGCTCTGCTTTGTTTTTCATCTTGCTGGCGGCCATCTTGAATGTTCTTCTCTGCACTGGAAACACTAGGGCAACTTTTTCTCATTTGATTTTTCACTTCCCTTGGCACATTCCTGTTATCTCACCTATTTTTCAAAAGCACTATACCTTTATGTTCTCTGGGACACCACTCACTATCATCATCCTGTACTACAATACTTAGGATTGTTGAAATATGCTGGAGCTCCTCTGCTGCAAGTGTTGACCCTGATCAATGTTGTGATCAATGATGTTGTGTGTATGTATGTATGTATGTATGTATGTATGTATGTATGTATGTATGTATGTATGTATGTATGTATGTATATATGTATGTGTATGTATGTATGTGTATGTATGTATGTATATATATATATTGTGACGGGAAAGTGTTGGAGTGTAGATGTTCGGCAGTCCTCCAATGGCAGGTGTCAATGCCTAGTCACACTTACAAAAAAAAAGATAGACTGCTTGCCTGTTTGTCTGTGGTAAAGTAAAGGAACACACACAAAACACAAAAATATGAACAATGAAACTTTAATTAACATAGAAAACAAAATATAAACAAAGACAATCCCTTGGCAATATACAGTGCAAAAGAACAAGTCAAAAACAATATAACATAAATGAATAATAGGGATGAAGTTACTCTACAATAATATAACGTTTAAAGGTGAAAAATAATCAGGTGCTGAGAATATGGCGCTAGCTGCGAGACATCCAGCTGATACACATATATCAGTTAGTTGTTCATTGCTTGAGAGCACAAGGATATTCTGACTTAAATGGCTGGACCAAGCCCAGACATCGACTCAGGTAGAGGGCGCTGAAGTGCAGTGTGCAGGTGTGCAGTCGGCGAGTCACCAATCAGGAGCAGGCAGGCTGGGAAGGGTAGTTGGCTGCTTGATGACGAGCCGGCGTGGAGGGAGTGGAGTAGGGGGTGAGTCTTGGGTACGTTTTGCCTCCTGGTCAAAACATTTTGTGCTACTGGTAGACGTATCTTGAAGGTAGCATCTTATTCTTGAATAAAATACGTAACTTCATGTAGAGAAGAGCAGGCTCAATCTCTCTTGAAAGAGATTATCGTCACAATATATATACATACATACATACATACATACATACATACATACATACATACATACATACACACATACACACACACACTTACATCGACAGGGAAGACTTCCTGAGACCTGGAATTTCAAGAACAAGAGGTCATAGATTTAAACTAGCTAAACACAGATGCCGAAGAAATATAAGAAAATTCACCTTCGCAAATAGAGTGGTAGACGGTTGGAACAAGTTAAGTGAGAAGGTGGTGGAGGCCAAGACCGTCAGTAGTTTCAAAGCGTTATATGACAGAGTGCTGGGAAGACGGGACACCACGAGTGTAGCTCTCATCCTGTAACTACACTTAGGTAATTACACTTAGGTAATTACACACACACACACACACACACACACATACATACATACATACATACATATATATATATATATATATATATATATATATATATATATATATATATATATATATATATATATATATATATATATATATATATATATATATATATATGTATATGTATATATATATGTATATATATATATATATATATATATATATATATATATATATATATATATATATATATATATATATATATATATATATATATTATAAAAAGTGAATCATTTTTAATGAAACATAATAAAAATTGTATTATCTTTGCAGCGTCTTTCTGAAGAAAATGAGCAGTTACGCATGGAGACTGCACGTGCTCAATCTCAACTAGATGTAGCTATGTCAACACAAGATTCTCAAAGAGGTGTGGTTGAGAGCGTCAACATGCAATTAGGTGAACGTATTAAAGACCTTCTGGCTCTTCACCACGAATTGAATCACCTACTTACTACCTGAGGCGGGTCGGGTCGGGGGCTGCCACCCCACCCGCAGCAACGCTCCAGTGCTGGCCAGAGAAAGACTATTCGCCTTCAGGCTGTCTGGCATGTCTAGTGAGCGCGGGGAACTATGGCCGCTTCTGACCTGGAATCACGCTACACTTTTTACTTCCCCTTCTATAATCCCAATGTATTATTTTTTGCATTTTTTGTAAATAATACTCTGTCATTCCTCACACCGCTAGCCCAGCTTCTTTTATCTTGTCTTTTTTGTCAAGTCTTGAAAGAAGACAAGTTACTGTGAGGCTCTAGGAACTGTTTGATTAATATTTTCCCTTTGTATTCAAATTTCATCAGGATTACCAATTCATTTATTGTTTTTAATAATGCAGCTTATTTTCTTTATCTTAATCTTCTTGGCAGCTAATTCATATGTTGCACTTACTATAGGATTTGTAGCTCTGTGATTTATAAAAACTGTAACTGATACAAATTTTATTTAAGCTCTTTTTCTAAAAGTTTACCTCATTTCCTCATTTATGTGCTCTGCAAAATTAATGTATGTAGCAAAATGACCAACATAGGCACACGAAAAGCTTAATCTTCCTTATTCCTTTTGTCATTAGTGGAATCCAGTTGGCCACGGTTGTTATTGTATTTGGAAATTATACACTGGCACTTTATTTACGATTTTAATGTTCACCATCGTTGGCATTCTACCGCTGCTCTGGTAGTTTGATGACGGCATATATGCATACTACTGTATTTTCATTCATGGTTATTATAAGATGTTTGAGTGGGTGTGCATAATATTTTCTATCTTATCTACCAGAAAGCACTGGAGTGCATATGCATACTCTTAATTTTATTATAAGGTCATACTTTAGCCTGTTCACTATTAGGCTTTCGTGGTATTTCCTCATTGTCCCCAGCTTGTTTTATTGATATTATCCGTCATAAGACTTGGCTCATCAAAAGGTAGCATTTTGTCATATTCTTGATGATGTACATATGGAGCAATAGTAATCTTGTTTAGTTGTATTTTATTAATTTATACATTATTTAATTACTTACTTTATATGGAAATAGTATATTTATGCATTATCAAAACTATGACAAAATTACTTTACATTTGGATCATTAATTTTGAAGTGGTATTTTTTATAGATTATTTCAAATTTAATTAAGAGCTGTAGTTAGGGTATATTGTTACATAATATTGGTTAATACCTACAGGAATTACTAGAAGGGGTGAGGAGGGGGGCAAGGTAAGGTTATTATCAGGAGCAAACACCAAGTCAGTACGATTATATGGAAGGAGACGGGGTGATGGCAACTACCCATATATGAGGTACATAGAAGCTCAACGGAGTTGATATTCAATACATGATAACTTAAAGCTAATTTTCTTGATTATTAAATAGTTCTTGCATTCTGAATGTTTCACTCAATTTTTCTTTATTGGCATTTTCTAGTATTTTGAAAGTGAAATAGTTGTGTAATTTAAAGGATTGAACCTTTTGTCCTTGAATATAGGCACAATGCCATATTTGTCACTTTACATTATCAGTGGTTAGGAGAGCTCTTCAGCACATTCCTTCAGGAATAGGAGATATTTTATCTTCTATTGCTTCATTATTTTTTTATATCTTAGTGATATCTTATTTACTTCTCAAGTTACTTCAATGTTTACAATTTCTTTCCCTTACATGTTTAAGTATACCTCATTAGACTAGTGTAATTACCTAAATGTAGTTACAGGATGAGAGTGATGCTCGTGGTGTCCCGGCTTTCCAATAATCTTTGTCAGATGATGCTTTGATGATTTTGGCATCCACCATCTTCTCACCTCAATTGTGTGTATATAGTTATGTGTAGGGTGAGGGTGTGTATATACATGTGTATGTGTGTGTGAATACACATTCTAACCTACTTGTGTATATGGGGAGCGAGATCATGCTCTAGAGTCCTGCCTCCTCAATATTGTGAATATTTTATATAATAATACTACATGGAAATATTGTTCAACACTTTTACAAGATATTTGTGTGCCAAACAGTATCAGTTGACAATGATTTCTTAATTTCTCAGGCCAAGAGTAAAGCAAATCTGAGATTATGAGAATTTATCTTAAAAAGTAAACTTTGAGATTGGAAGCTGTAGAGACTGGATGGTGGTCATGCTATATGGTGCAAGATACTAGACATTCTAGTTGGACGTAGGTATAAATGTGCTAATTGAATATTCCACTCAAGTTTGCTACTTGTATACCTGTGGTACTTAAACGTAATTTCACTGCAGAAAATAAGTCACAATAACGTGGCTAAAAAATGGTCCAGCCCACAGGTATGAAGTTAAATGAAAATGACAAAATTTTGGTCCACGCTGCACCCTTATCAAGTTGTGACCTGGATAGTGACCTGGACTTGCTAAGGGTCCAGATCAGACCAAAACATTGTCACTGTCATATCATTTCATACGTGTAGGTTAGGTTATTTGTAATTTGACTGCAATGATGGCAGTTTTGGGAAGTAGTTATGCATTATATTTAGGGAAAGGGGGGGAGGGGGAGGAGTTGGTAAGTAACTCAATAGTTCATTTGTTAAATTACTTTAAGTTTGGTGCTTACTTGCCTTAAGATTCATATAATGTGCGTTCCTGATTTAATGATCTTTTGCAGCAGCGTTGCCATTTATCAGACTGATATCGGTCACTGTAAAGTACCGAATAGTTAGATTATTTTGACAAATTTGTTAATTTCTTAATGATTAATATTGCTTTAGATTTGATAAACAATTGACATTAGTATGTTGTAATGTAGTGTATTACTTGGTAGTTACCAGACATAACATGGCATCTTTAGTATCAGTACACTACATATATCAACTATTTACGGGTAGGTGCCAATTTTTTTTTTTGTTTAAGTTCTGAAACCAAATAGCTTTAAATTTGGTATAATTTTTCCATTAGAATTTAATCAAATTTTGTGTTATGTTTTGGGTTATGCAGCGTGGTGGCGATGTGGCACTGGATGGCACATACAGTGTCATAATCTTCACTAATGCATGGGGGCCATTTTTATATAGTATCTTAATAATACCTGATGCCAGTGTCAGGAATTTTCAAGTAGAGACAATACTTTTGTACAGTAATGATTTTGTAATGGAGATAGAAAATTGTAAATGGACATAGCACTTCTGTAAAGGACATAGGACAATCATAGGTAAGATAGGACCTTTACAGCAGATATTGAACTCAATATACATTTTTGTCATGTAGCTGCAGATACAAAAATTTGAGGTGGGAATAATACTTTTGTAATGGAGGTGAGGTCTTTGTAGCCGAGAACTTTCATAGTGGCAGTAGGAGTGTTTTGAAGTGTCGATAGGAATGCTGTTGCAGAGATATTTTTGTAACAGACTTCACTTTTGTAGCTATGATAGGGCTTTTGTAATGATGTTGATAGGACTTTTGTAATGAAAATAAGACTTTTGTAATAATTGACCTTTTTAATGACAATAAGACAAAAAGACATGCACCTGCATATAAATGAAACTGGTATACATGTGCGCATTTACACTAATTCACCCAGCTTCAAGAGTAAGTGCGTTAGTGCACCCTAATATCACTGTATATATATACTGTATGCCAGGCACAATAACCAAGAGGCAGTGCTCAAGAACTAGGTCTCGCTTTCCATAGATACTGTACATGTAGGCATATACACACACACATACACACACACACACACACACACACACACACACACACAAAATGTATTCCAAGAGGCAGTCATGTGTGTGTGAAACCACTCAAAATGTTCAAAAAATTACATCAAAATAAAATTTTACAAGGAAGATGAGGTGCCACAAGCGTACAACTAGTCATGAAACTACAAATATGTAATTATATATAAACACTTAACTGAAATACACAGAAATAAAATACCTCTTGTGACATGTTTACTGGGGTTATGAGTTTGATAGTAGACACACAACTTTTATAGTAAAGATAGCTAATATTATAGTTTGTGGAAACAATATATTTGTCATTGTAAAGTATAATTTTTTTTTTATTAGGGCATTTAGAAGTTTACTGGTAAGTTTCTTCTCAAGCGTATGGATTATTTTTTGTTTTTTACTTTAATGTTTGGTAAGAAGTTGGTATAAGAGAGTACTTGTACTGTAGCTAGAGTACTTGTACTGTAGCTAGAGTACTTGTACTGTAGCTAGAGTACTTGTACTGTAGCTAGAGTACTTGTACTGAAGCTAGAGTACTTGTACTGTAGCTAGAGTACTTGTACTGTAGCTAGAGTACTTGTACTGTAGCTAGAGTACTTGTACTGTAGCTAGAGTACTTGTACTGTAGCTAGAGTACTTGTACTGTAGCTAGAGTACTTGTACTGTAGCTAGAGTACTTGTACTGTAGCTAGAGTACTTGTACTGTAGCTAGGCGATAAGTGAAATGGAATATATTTGTCAAAATTCACACAGTATTATTAGTGCCGTAGTTATAGAGTACGTGGTGTAGAATAGTGAGCCCCTTCCTTGGTGAACTGTGAATATGGTGAATATAATTGCATGCTATCCTTTATGAGGGGATTGTATTTCATTATACTAAATACAGGTATTTTTAAAGAACAGTAAGATACTGTTTTAAATAAATGGATTTTGTTGGTAATTACAGTACTAAAAATAAATCTTATCATAAAGACCTAGACACAAAGAGTTGGTAATGATGGTGAACATTAAAATGTAAATATATAGAGGTATAGTAATTAAATATCAATAGGAATATTATTAATTAAATAATGGTAATATCTTATCACAACCTTAATAACAGGATAAAAAATGCACACTTATGTATTTTATATAAAGATTTGAACTACACCAAGTCTGTTGCACTCTCCTGAGTGCATTATAAAGGTCTGAGTATAGGGTTTGGACAAGACTTACATCTCAAAGACTGATTAGTCGTGATATAACAACTAATTAGTCGTTGTGATGTAGCAACTAATCAGTCATTGTGATGTAACAACTAATCAGTCATTGTGATGTAACAACTAATCAGTCATTGTGATGTAACAACTAATCAGTCATTGTGATGTAACAACTAATCAGTCATTGTGATGTAACAACTAATCAGTCATTGTGATGTAACAACTAATCAGTCATTGTGATGTAACAACTAATCAGTCATTGTGATGTAACAACTAATCAGTCATTGTGATGTAACAACTAATCAGTCATTGTGATGTAGCAACTAATCAGTCATTGTGATGTAACAACTAATCAGTCGTTGCAATGTAAGTCTTGTGCAAACCATACACTCAGATCAGACCTTGATAATACACTCAGGAGAGTGCAAAAGACTTGGTGTAGTTCAAATTTTTACATAAAATACATAAATAATGTACCGTACATAATTGTGGGTCTTTTATCCAATATGAATATTAATAACCCAATTCACACATCAAAAGAAAGTAATGATGTTTGAGTCCATTGTGAACCCTTAGTAAGATACCACTTGGTAAGGGGTCCAAGTTAGACCAAAATGTCATCACTCATTTCTTTCATATGTGTGAGTTGGATTATTAATTTTCCATCGCATTATTGGGACTTATTCTCTGCAATAAAAATATTGGTCATCTTGCCGGATATGACTTGTTACTAGTAGAATCTGGTGATGGCTTTTCCAGTCTTCTCTCTCTCTATATATCTCAGATGAATCATAATCTATAGCTTCCTTGCGCACGAGGCAACATATCTTCTTTATCGCACTCTCTTGTAAACACAGATGAGAAGTATTCTGAATAATAACCCAAGTATTCCATAATGTGGTTATTATCAAGTATTGTATTGAACCATCATTGAAGGATAGGCATCTGCTCCAGTGCCATTTTGTAATGTAGCATTAAATGGCCTTACATATTTCTTGAGAAATTACTGGAATTTTTACAGCAGTGCACATCATTACAGAATTTGTAAAGTCTGAACATAGTTTTACATTGGTCATCCCACGACAGCGTTATATATCTTTATATATTTACCGAGAAAGTACTAACATTCTCACTGCAACAGTGTGCATCATTACAGAATATCTACACTTGTCTAAATATGTATGTTTAGGTTGGGGGATCCCACTGTTCATTTGTGATATTTAGACCACACTTTATTAAGAGTAAGGCTTATCTTTTTACAATCACCAGCAGTATTAATTAAACCATTTATCAAGAGTATTGAGTTAAAATACATTTTGTATTAGAAATGGACAGTTTGATAAAACACTAAAGCCATACAGTGGATTCCCACATCCCTAAACTCTTGAGGCACACGCAGTACTGACTAAACCATTAGTCCAATCAGTAGTGAGTGTGCCTGTGGAGTGAACTCTTGAGGCACACACAGTACTGACTGAACCATTAGTCCAATCAGTAGTGAGTGTGCCTGTGGAGTGAACTCTTGAGGCACACACAGTACTGACTGAACCATTAGTCCAATCAGTAGTGAGTGTGCCTGTGGAGTGAACTCTTGAGGCACACACAGTACTGACTGAACCATTAGTCCAATCAGTAGTGAGTGTGCCTGTGGAGTGAACTCTTGAAGCACACACAGTACTGACTGAACCATTAGTCCAGTCAGTAGTGAGTGTGCCTGTGGAGTGAACTCTTGAGGCACACGCAGTACCGACTGAACCATTAGTCCAGTCAGTAGTGGGTGTGCCTGTGGAGTGAACTCTTGAGGCACACGCAGTACTGACTGAACCATTAGTCCAGTCAGTAGTGAGTGTGCCTGTGGAGTGAACTCTTGAGGCACACGCAGCACTGACTGAACCATTAGTCCAATCAGTAGTGAGTGTGCCTGTGGAGTGAACTCTTGAGGCACACGCAGCACTGACTGAACCATTAGTCCAATCAGTAGTGGGTGTGCCTGTGGAGCTATCGGATGCAGGATCAATCCCATCAGGTGGCTTTAGTATTTTCTCTCGGAAATATCACATTCTCGTTATTTCGTTGGCTATATACAGAGCTGCACAAGTGGTGAGATGGTCTTCATTGAAGATCCTGATTGTTCTATCAACCCAATTCTTTAATACAGTAATAAAGGACATAAATCAAAGTCTGTATAGGATATATCATTTTTAATTTACTTTGTTATATGATGTTGCCTTGCAACATCTGTGCAAAGTAAGTACATCAATTTTTTTTTGTTAAATATTGAAGACTTATAGGTGCTTACATCGTGGAGTGGATATAATTTAGAGTTATTACACGGAGATATTTCATTCCAATGTTTGTGTATTGTGTAAGTGGACTGTAATAATGGTGCACATTGGGAGTGACGGCAGTGTTGCTATTTACTCTTTTTGTTGAGAAGGAAATAAATAAACGTCATTATCATTTGATTAATGAAAGTATATTAAGACAATACAAAAGGAGTCAATTGATGGGTTCCCATTCCATGGCTAAAATATGTGAAACAAACGTTACGGAAATTCCACCTTTTTATTGTGAGAAATTAGTACAGTAATGCAGTATTAAACACTACTCTCAGTTCTCGTGTGTTGTATGATCAGTGGTGAATGTTGCCATCACCACTGATGAGTGTCCATCACCACTGATGAGTGTCCATCACCATGAATGTTGCCATCACCACTGATGAGTGTGTCCATCACCACTGATGAGTGTGTCCATCACCATGAATGTTGCCATCACCACTGATGAGTGTCCATCACCATGAATGTTGCCATCACCACTGATGAGTGTGTCCATCACCACTGAGGAGTGTGTCCATCACCACTGATGAGTGTGTCCATCACCACTGATGAGTGTGGCCATCACCACTGATGAGTGTGTCCATCACCACTGAGGAGTGTGTCCATCACCACTGATGAGTGTGTCCATCACCACTGATGAGTGTGTCCATCACCACTGATGAGTGTGTCCATCACTACTGATGAGTGTGTCCATCACCACTGATGAGTGTGTCCATCACCACTGATGAGTGTGTCCATCACCACTGATTGTGTCCATCACTACTGATGAGTGTGTCCATCACTACTGATGAGTGTGTCCATCACCACTGATGAGTGTGTCCATCACCATGAATGTTGCCATCACCACTGATGAGTGTCCATCACCTTGAATGCTGCTATCACTACTGGTAAGTATGTATTCACCTACTTGTACTCACTTAGTTGTGCTTGTGGGGATTGAGCTTTGGCTCTTTGGTCAATTGGTATACAGGTTCCTGAGCCTACTGGGCTCTATTATATCTACATTATAAACTGTGCATGGAGTCAGCCTCCACCACATCACTGCCTAATGCATTCCACCTGTTAATTACTCTTGACACTGAAAGTTCTTTCTAACGTCCCTGTGGCTCATTTGGGTACTCAGTCTCCACCTGTACCCCATTGTGTCTCGTACCACCTGTGTTAAGCTGTTTATCCTTGACTACCCTGTCGATTCCTCTGAGAATTTTGTAGGTAGTGATCATGT